TACAAATATTTGGTCCAATCTTTTACTAATTACTCTTACTACTGTTTTTCAGAAAGCTTCTAGTAAGACGATTGGCTTTACGTTTGATAGGTTGTGATTTCACTCTTCATTTTTTGGAATTAGGTATAGCAGTCCAGTGTTTTTCCAAATTTGGCATTCCTGAATATAGAAATGATCTACACAGTATGACTTTCTAGAATCCGATCGTGAAACCAAATTTGATTGGTTACGGAATTTCCATATATATAGTAGTTAATCAGACAACTTCCATGTGCATTCAAGTAAAGAAGTACAGAAGTACATAACTATATAGAGCTTTTATAAGTTGGATCAAGACATGCTTTGCATAAATTCACATAATGCGTGCTTTTAGAAATGCTTCCAAATCTGAGATCAGTTAGGAAAATATAATTTTATTGGCGTTATTCCCATTTAAGAACGAGGCAAAAAATACGAAGATACTTTAAGGCATTTATATAATTTTTTTTTTTTTGCAACTTTATTTAATTTCTTTAAGTTTTAATAAACATAACCAACCTTTTTTTCTATTTTCAGAATATACTTGGCTGCTTTTTTATATTGTCTCTTCGGTCTCATCAGCATTAGTTGCATTATGGAGATCTTGAACTTGTTGCAAAATGATTAATAACTCATCTTTTCATTTTGATTTTAATCCTTTAAATTGTGGTCGATTAGCTTCATTTAAGGATCCAATTAATGTTTTGATTGTGAATATTATTTCTTCTTTTTTCAATGAACTTTCGGCTAATTGTAATTGCTCTTCATCCAATATAACAGGAATATAACGAGTACATTCTGACAGGTTAATTAAGTTAAATTTACCTTTTATATAATTTATACATCGAGTTCGAGCTCTCTGACTAAATGTTTTTATTTCCTCACTCAATTTAGTATTTCCATCTAAACTCTCAAAGCTACGATTATTTTTATCTAGATTTAGAAAACCAGCTTTTCTCAATTGAACTCGAAATTGCTATGATTCTTCTTCATAGTCTGGACGAGTTCATGAGCTCGAACTTTCAGAATCTGAATATCCCATTGTAGTAAACAATTTCTTTTGCAGCTACCAAGATGATATTTATCAGGAAAAGTATACTTTCAAATAGCAATAATATTTGTCACGGATGATCATGAATAGGGATGATTCAGTCACAAACGGGCACAATTATTCATAGCCAATTTGCTAAATACTGAGCTAATTTTTTACTTTTGAGCTTTTAATTATAGTTGTTCGGAATTTAATTCTGAACAACTTTAATTAAAAGCTCAAAAGTAAAAAATTAGCTCAGTATTTAGCAAATTAGCTATGAATAATTGTGCCCGTTTGTGACTGAACCCATCCCTATTCATGATCATCCATGACAATATTTATTCTTTACCTTCATAAATTTTGTACAATTTCTTGCAGCTATTTCCCAATGCTTTTGAGTTGGTATAGGTGGAATTAGCGTTTTTAATGTTTTATTTACCTCTTCAAGTATAGTGTCTAGTCCCTGATATTGATTTGACTATCCTAATTGTGCTACAACAGAATTATGTTTGATAATTTGATGAATCTCAGGACGGAGACGCATTAATTGTTCTTCATTAGCTATTTCAATTGCTTGGTAAATGGGGTGCCTTCTTGCAGACCAGATAGGAGCAAACATTCTACGTGCAGCTAATTTAAGTAAATGTTGATTGTATCTAACACCAGTGCGAAAATTTATTATTGCTTGTAAGTACCAAAAGATCTAAGCATAATTTGAATATTAATAACTTGGAATCTAAATAGTTTATATTGTCACCTCCTAATTTTTATTAATCTATATTTTCTATCTATTTTCTATTATATAAAATCGTTTTTACATATTTT